ATTTTCTTGTATTTCTCAGATTGTCTTTACCATTATCAATGTTAGTCTCTGTTCTAGTCTGGTCCCCACAACACTTAGACATACATTAGTTACACCTCTTCTCAAGACACCAGGACTCCATCATTCTACATAGTCCAATTACAGGCCTATTTCTAAGGTACCATTTATTTCTAAAGTCAGAAGTAGAATCAAGTTTTTTGCCAAGTAGGCTTGCATTTACATGTAATTTCACTTGGTGTTAATGATGCAGACAAATGATGTACTGTATGTATACAGAATACCGAATCTATAGCTATAAACAATATACTATATACCATATATAGAATATAGAACCTAGGCGTAAGTTCAACTGAAGAAACTCATTGCTTTCCTTCATCCACCTGCGACACAACCAATCAGCCTTGAACCACACCTCCACGAAAACCAATCAGCATCCAAAGTTAATCTTAGGCCCCGTCCACACGAAGACGAACCCTGGCCTAAACGCACAAATTTTTCACCAAACCAGCCTCTCATCCACACAAAGCCGGCGTTTCGGGGGTCTGTAAACGATCTTTTTTTTATTCAGCCTTCAGAGTGGGAAGATTCTGAAACGCCGTTTTCGCGTTTCCATCTTTACGCTCTAACCGCATATTTTCTTTTACACGCATGCGTCATAGCGTCGCCTCTAAACACGGATGCGCGACACATCACAACAACAATGGCGCAGTTGCTGCTAGTGCTACTCACCCTGCTGTCGGGCTTACAACAGAATCTTCTTCTTCTGGAATATCTCCAGGAAGAACAGAGCAATATCGACGACATAGTTCAGCACCTGAATTTGACTTAACCACGAAAATGGACCCGCAGGCCAACCATGTATAAATATTAGTGCACATGCCCAACATTTCGTCGCTTATTTTTGCTTTGGCACCACAGCGCCACTTACAGGCCTGGCATACATTTTGCAGCGTTTTCATGCATTCGTGTGGACGATCACATTTATTTTACGTCTCCGTCTTTACTGCAAATGTTTTGGAAAATATCAGCGTTTCGTGTTCGTTTTGATTTCGTGTGGACGGGGCCTGAAAAGGCCTCCGATACGCACCTGTCTGCTCCTGCGGTGGATGTGCTGTGTGACTTCATTCAGATGACCGCGTTTCAACCCACTTCCTGCCACTCCTCCTCCACATTCGTAGCGAAAGCTTCATCAGAGTATCATTCTTCCTGGACTCTTACTGTGTTCCCTGTCTAATCTTAATCGGTCCGGCAGAAGACCGCCATGTTGAGCCTGGTTCTGCCAGAGGTTTCTTCCCAACAGGGAGTTTTTCGTCTCCACTCTCGCTCCATGCTTGCTCATAATGGACAGGTTCTCTCAACCTGTGTTATCCAAACTACACTTCATCTTCCAGGTCCCTGAGTAAGGATCAGCTCTCCCCATAAAGCTCAGCATACCATCTCGCTAACCAGCAGTCTACAGACTGACCAACTTCATCTATCTCCACTCCACCACCAGTTTCAGGCCTGGGGGGAAACAGCCAAATTCTTTGCTCCTGTCCATTCATATCTATCAAAGTTGAGCGCTATGTTTCCTGCCGAGGTCTGAGTGCCAAAGACAAAGTAATTGTATCAATACATTTCTCCTAATCATCTTTTCTCTTCTTGTGAGTTTTTCAGATTGAAATAGCTATATACTAGTCTTAGACAGATAATTTTTTCTCAGTTTTTATCGAGAGGAATTTGATCTCTGTGAAATATTTCAGTCAGGGTTTAAGGCTCGACATGGTACTGAATCGTATCACTACAAGTTTGTAATAGTTTAATGATATTCTCTTGGCCTGTGACTCTATTGTATATAGCTATACGACTCTTGATAGCTGTACGATTTTAGTTCTGCTTGACCTAACAGCTACTTTTGACATGGTTGACCATCATATTGTAATTATACATCTGAATCATTCAGTAGGGATCCAGCACACTGCTCTGCATTGGTTCAGATCATATCTGACCAACCGATCTTTGTGTCAAAAATGGTAATGCCGAATCATCTTGTGGTTCTCTATCCTACTGCGTGCCACAAGGCTCAATTTTAGGGCCCCTGCACTTTTCTCTGGTCCATACTGAGAAGACATGGGATTGATTTCCAGTTTTTATGCTGATGACCTTCAAAATCATTTGCCCCTAAAGCAGTTAAGACATTTGGCAAAACTGAAACATGCCTTTTATTGAATCTCGATTTGATTACTGTAACTGACTCTATGTTGATTTATGCCCGTCTTTGCTGTCTTGCTTACAGCTAGTACACAGCTGCTTGTCCTTTAACTGTTACTCCAAATGATGATCACATCTCTACTTTCCTGGCCTCACTACAGAAGCTGCCTGTTCATTTTAGAGCTCATTTAAAAATTTAGTTTTTAACCTTGCCCCATCTGATCTCTCTGAGCTTCTTCACCCCTACTTGCCTCCTCGGCCTCTCAGGCCAGCATTACAGCAGCTCCTGCAGGTACCAATGTTTAAGAGGAAGCTCAGAGGGACCAGAGCCTTCTTTATTTCTGCCTCTTTATGGAATAACCTCCCATTTCACATTAGGGAAGCTCTTTCGCTGCTGAATTTTAAAGTGTGGCTCAACCATAATAAAACTATTTACATATATAAATCAAGCAGATTACTATGGCCTGTACCTTGTAGGGGTAATTATCTCAACATTTGACCCTGAGCATATTGAGGAGGGTTTGGATCACAATATCAAGCTATTTTAAAATGAATCTTCAAATTAATTGGCAACCAGCAAATTAAGCTTAAAACTGGGGAGATCTAATCAAACATATGTGTCTTAGTTAAAAATCATGCAGCAGTATTTTGCACCGTCTACAGACGCGACAGATGATGCAGGGGTTTTTCCTCCAAGCAGAGAGTTAGTTTCTGCTTTAGTCTCAGCCTTTTCTGTCTCTGTCATCTTTTCCTCAGGGAAGACACATCACATTACCTACTGATAGGTCCAATGCTGCCTTTGTGCAGCTTACTTCTTTCAGTATGCCCCACTGGCTTGCCACCATCAGTGGGTGAAAAACTGAATGTAGATTAAAGCTCTTCAAAGTCCCATGACTTGTATTATAAAAGTACAGGCTACAAGATAAAACTCTGAGAGTCTGATCTCGACATTTCTCCATTCTGCCTCCCACCATGTAATCAGAGAAGCTCCTGGAAGTTGGGCAGCACACTGATCTGCTGTGCTGTTGTAGCACTAAGGCTGAGTAAAAGGTTAGAAAATAGTGTTTGTAGTATAATTGCACTCATAGTTTTGATTCCATGTAAAAATTGACCCCTGTAATGAAACTTTGATTTGATCTGTGTCTATTTAATTCAATATTAGGTTATGGTTATGATGGGGATGGTTCAGGTTTACTTTTAATTACCCAACCGATCAATTAGCACCCATGATACATAGGTATAATTGTATGTTCCGTGGTATCCCTCTGTGATACTGGACCACCAAAGCAGGGTAACAGGAAATTTATCATGAACTACCAGCAGGTCAGCAGGATCTCCCTGGGGCTCCCCTGACTCCCACATTTTTCAAATAGCAATGTCTTCCAGTTTCAAGGCTGCCATCCTTGCACATTTACACATACCATGGTTCAGCTATTTATGGATATGTGACTGTCTCCATCTTCCTCACCTAGTTAATCATCACATCTTGTTTTGAATTAATCAGTTTATTTGCCACCTTTATTCTGTTGGAATGAAAGTGTGCCTTTACAATAAACAGGGGTTTTATGCTCCTCAATGTACAGACCGAGTACAGATTTCCATGACATAGAAGTAGGAACATTTACAGTTTATATCCAACTGAGGATGTTTATCATCATTTTTTGAGATGTGTTCATTGTTGTCTGAGGACACATTTGATTCAGTGTCATCATTCAAGTTTAAATCATAAAAGCTCAATCTCATGCCGAATTTTTACTCTTTTTCTTCATTAAATGAAGAGGGTCACATTTCACTGCATTTGCTAAGCTTTATTGCTTTTTATTGTTTTACCGTGGATTGGAAACATTTGTGCGGCTGCTGCAAATTTTCACAGCAGAATAAATACCACACACTTTAATGCAAAGTTGATTTTTATACATATCAAGTTCTGAGTTAAAGTTTTTTGTGCTCAGGCAGATTTTATACAAGAGGCCCCAAAACTTTTTAAAGGTCTTCAAGATGCTATAGAAATGTTCTTTTACAAACCTCTTAAGTCTTTTATAGGATAATTTGTGTTATATTTACATTTAAGTAAACACACTCCTGCTCCTACTAGTTAGGAAATTTTGTGAAAGTTACTGCTGAAATTGGATTTTATTAAAGACTATTAAAGAAAACAAGCATGCTAAGTTAAAGGTGCAAGAAAACTTTTAAAGGATAATACAGAGGATAAAAGACTGCAAAGAAAGCTAACACAAATTAAAGTAATGACTTTAAAAATTGTGAGCCATGAGAAGTAACAAAACAATATATTAATGGGAACCTACACTTACTTTTTTTAATGGCTAAGAAAATCCAGATGATGATGCAAAAAAAGCAGAGCTGAGGAACCACTTCATAGAAAGATGCCAGTAGATCGGCTGAAAAACATTTATATACAATCACCACTGTTATATAAAATCTTTTCGTTATGTGTTTTTTCCTGAATAAAGTATAGGTTAATTACTTAACCTTGATAGAGAGCTCTTCACCTCCAACCATGTGGATGAGTAGAATGACAGAAACAATGTCAAGAGAGAGGGAACCAATTAAGATGGTGACTGCAGGTGTAAATAGAAGTTGCTCAATTTCATTTGAATTTGATTTTGTAATATTCTGAAATACAACAAAAAAAGATTATTGTAAATTATATGAATTATATATATATATATATATATATATATATATATATATATATATATATATATATATATATATATATATATATATATATATATAATTATTTTTTTCTTCTCTTACCTTTTTTTCAGGTTGTGATTTGGGTTCTTGTTTAATCTCAACAGTAACCCATTTGGGTTCTTGTTTAATCTCAACAGTAACCCACTGCTGTTCCATGAATATCTTAATTGAATCTATGTTTTCATGTCTCTGGGACCATATTTCTGTGTTTAGCAGGAAATTAACCTTCCTTGGTTTTGTTGTTTCATCCTTTAGGTCATACTCTGACAATGAAGAAAGTACATCATGATAAAAGAATTAAAAGAAATCCATACAATACTCCCTCTCCCTCTACACATTCTTATATATATATATATATATATATTTGAACACATAGAGACACCTACTCGTTCCGCTATATGTATTGAAAACAATATGTTGACTACCATTTACCTTCATTGATTTTCAGTCATTTTTTTCCCTTTCTATCCCCTAACAGTAAAACTAACCCTAAACCTAACCATTACCAATGAACACCTCATCCAATTACTAACCCAAATTGCACCTTAGCACTAAACCTAACCATTAGCAAAATAGCGTGGACCAGCCAAATGTCCTCACTCTGCATCAACTTGTCCTCAATCTGATGGAGAAACTGGAAAAAAGCTCCTCAAACTGAGGGCTAAACAGGTACACTGACACACACTCGCACACATTATTAGACTTACGTGTCCATGTGGCAAATGTGAAGAACAATGCAACTGTAACAGTTTTATAAACCATGGTGATCGGGAGAGATGGAATAGTTATTTTTGCTGCAATTTGAAGACACATGAAATACACAACACAAAATAATATATGAAACATACAAAATAAAAATATATATATTACAATTGAATAGCTAATAAAGATACATTCTTACCTCCTCTGCAAAGGTATATTTCAGAGTAAGCGGTTACAGGAGTTGATTAGAGTTGGACTTTGTTCTCTGTTTACAATCACAAATTTAGGTGTGTCCACAATGGTTTGTTGGTTTGACAACCTGCTCACAGCAGGGAGGATGGATAGAAAGCCTAAAAGTCTTCAATCATTATTTTGATATAACAAAACAGAATATATTCGGAACAGCTCCAAATGACTCAAAACTAATATGGATGAGTAGAATATGGTCCATTGCTGTGACACTGCTGCTAGGGCTAGGAAGAGGGTTGAGTTCTGCAAGTGCCAGAACTCAACCCTCTTCCTAGCCCTGGCTAGGAACTGGGTTAACTGGGCATTTATCAAATCAGCAAGAAAATCATAAAAAAAAAAACACATAACAGAAGATAGCAACGAGAAAATTAAACGCAAAAACATCACAATCCCTTATGTTGCTGGAGTGTCTGAAAAGCTCAAGAGGATTTTCTTCAAACACAAAATCCCAGTACATTTCAAGCCAAACCAAACCCTTAAACAGAGGCTGGTGCATCCTAAAGATAAAACCCCCAGACCGAATATGAGCGGAGTGGTATACACTGTTCAGTGCAGGGAGGAATGCTCTGATCTTTATATTGGAGAAACCGAACAACCTCTCCACAGACGCATGGCTCAACACAGTGGACAAAGGACATTCTTTTGAGGACCAGAATGTTCACATGCTGGATAAAGAAAATAGGTGGTTTGAGAGGGGCGTGAAGGAAGCCATCTATGTCAAGAGAGAAAAACCAACTTTAAACAGAGGTGGCTGACTCAAATCCCACCTTCCAAAAACGTACAATTCAGTTATAGAGCTGATTCCTTTCAGATATTCCCACACCCCCCACCCCATCACAGAGGAACAAAGCACCTACCCGCTCCAGCCGGTGAACAATACCTCATTAACGACCGACCCTTAACAATCATAGACAGGTTTCTATTACAGGAGACAATCCCCCCCTTTAACGACAATCCCCCCCTTTAATGACCGACCTTCAGAATCATAGACAGGTTTCAAATATTACAGGCTAACAATGGAAGCAAACGACCCACTCATCAATTACCATTTGCATGTTTCCAAGCAATACAAGGCCTTGTCTATATAAGACTCAACTCACTGCGGATCCAGACATTTGAATTGAGAAAGCTTCCTGGACAGGTGGCGAAACGGTGGCGAAACATATTCAAAACTTGGAAACCAAGTCCAGTATTTTTTTTTATTTATTTATTTTTTTACTTTTATGGAATTTATTTATTTTATTTTCAGGGACAAGCGAAGGAGAGCAGAGAATGGAAAGAGCCGTGGGAGCCAGGGCTGAGAGGGGCCCTGGAAGTGAAATCAAATCATTAAATGGGCATGTATGGATTATAGAATGTTGCGTCAAGCTGTTTAAGTCAGTTAAGTCAGTGAGTCAATGAAGCCCAGTCTTTGCTGGTTGGAAGCAGATGTTGGGGTTTCAGAGTGGAGACAATGGTCTTTCAGGGTGTTTGAAGATGAGGATGGACAGGTTTGAGCCAGGGGCTTTAAAGGCCAAATCGGTGACCCTGAGGCAGGAGCAGGACGGAAACCTCGGGGGTGGTAGATGTAACAGAAGTCTTTGACAGAGTGGATCCTAAAGCTGAGAAGTAAAATCAGGTTTAGAATGAGAAGAACCAACAGGAGCGAATAAACTCAACGCTGAAATCTTCCTAAGTTGGCTTATTACCGCTCTGGATACAATAACCATCTGTCATCTACTTGAGGGAGACTGCTCCTTCTTAGTTTGGACATTTTAATCAGACTGATCACTTCAGCAATGTTGTATCACATTACCAGTTAGGATAACTGTTGAACGTTACTTGTTGTCATGTTGGGTTTTAGGTGCTTGGCCCACATGCAGATCACACTCGGAGGCAGGAGGCAGTTAAGGTTGTTTATTTAAACCAGACAAACAGTACAGGATGAGTAAGCTAGAGAGAGACTCCGAGCAGAGAGGCGCGGATCGGGGACGCTCGGCTCTGAGGATGGAGGGGGGGGGGGGGGGGGTGGTTAAAAAAGCATACCGAGCAGAGAAACTGACGAACAGAAAAAGGGCTTACCACTTGAGAAGGGAAACCGGACCGAGGAGAACGGATCGGACTGGGCTCTGCCTGACCTTGGTGAGGCTGGTGACTGAGAGACTGACGAGGGGCTGAGAGCGGGACCGAGCAGCGCCGGCAGACTTGTCCACAGAGCCAGCAGGAGGATCCAGGAGGGCCACCGAGGAAGCTCAGGTGGGCAGATTGAGCAGAGGAAAAGCAGATCACGATCGAGGACCTGGGAGACACAAAAAATCGCCTTTAGCACGGGAAAAAATTCAGCTGTCAGAAGACAGAGGCCACAGGTTTGTAACACAACGGTTAACACTCAGGCGTCCTCCTGCTGTCTGAGTCCAGCTCTTATAGTCCTGTCGCACGCCGCTCAATTAGCCACAGGTGTAGGCGCCCCACCCCTCTGTCAAACAGTCACCTGCAGAGAGAGTGGAGAAGGCCTAGCCAGCAGAGCTGCCAAATCCTGACACTTGTCTCCTGCGGATACCTTCCATTTAAATCCACAGAAGATATAAATAAGAGTAGCCCTTAGATAGCCAGTCACTGTGTGTGTGAATACTTTTCAGGTTTGTATATATCTGTAGCTACAGCTTAGTATTTAATATTATTGTGTATCCGTGAAGTCCTGGCACCAAAATCCTGTGGTATGTGTGTATTTATTAGCATGCTTGTGTATGAAAGATGTTGTGATTTTATATTCTATTCAATTCCCAGCAAGCTGGGAATTTATATTGCTGATACTCCCTACCGGGGAGGGCAATATACATCTTAAATATGTTATTTAATTAGATATTATTTTGGCTGTTATATATGAAAACCTGCCCTATTGGCTGTGTGGTAGAACAATAAATGAAAGAGTGATTCAAGCACTAATCATGATCAGTTAATTCTTCACATACATGGAATAAATTCACCACAACGTCTGTTCAAAATATGAGTTTATTAACAAAAATACTTCAGCTCCAAGTCAAACATATTTCAGATTAACACTCTTAACTAAAACTTGTGAAGCTCAACTAAACTAAACTACGATGTAGACAGAGGAAGGGAAACATTGTCGAAAACCATACTACAGTATAAGATGGATTTTGAGTTTGAAAACCAAAGTTTATCTGGAAGAATTTGGGATATGATCAAATTAGCTTTTCAATTTAGAGCAACTGGAATCTTTTTAGACAAATTCACAATGCAAATCCATGAGGTGAATACATATTTGGACAAATAATGTTTTATTAAATGATTTGCTTTATCAAGAATCAATAACCCTTAGTCAAATGATTCTTTACCCTTCTTGAAATAGCTAGCAGCGAATAGACATCAGGATTCCACTAAATGACTCTTGGTCATACTTGGTAATCGAAATGTATGAGCATAGGAGGAACACATGAACAATAATGTTATATCAGTGTTTAAATCCTTAGTGAAATAAAGCTTGTCCAAGCTTCAACAACAGCTCAAAACATGTTTCTGTATAGCAAAGCATGCAGTCCGTCCTGTTAGATTCATCTTTACACGTCAGTATACGTATGAAATGATCAACATCATCAGACATATTGCTTGTTCTGTCCCTACTTATGCCAGACCTGGAAACCTTTTTGTCCATTTCATTTGGAAGGCTTGAGTTTCATCCAGATACAGCTCAGCAGTCAAGCAGGCTTTCTTTGTCTCAGCAGTTCACACCAGTGGTCCTTAGGAGGCTTTCTCTCTAGTCTGGCTCTGAAGTTCTGTAACTCAAGAGAAATGTGTTGCAAAAGGTTTTGCAGCAGTCTGGCTCTGAATGGTCATTCTGGAGACTTATCCTTGATCATTCTGGAGATCTGGGCTTTTGCCTGGATCTCCATTTTTGCTCCATTTTCAGCCTCATGGGAAAAAGGGAAAGCAATCCTGTGTGTTCTGTGGTTTTCTCTGTCCTCACACAGAGGGTCAAAATATGCTCAATAGTCAAACCTCCACCCCTGTTGTGACAGTGGGGGTGGAGGTTTGACAGGCCCCAAATGCAGACACAAAAGCTTAAATGGTTACTTGAAGGTTAAATTAAAAAACTTCAACTTCAAAAATGCTCAAAACCAGGAATACTCACAACCCTAAGGGGAAAAAGTAATGATGACAAACCAGCAAAGAGTAACTGAGCAGGAGGAGAATTAAAGGGAGAGAGAAACAAAGACCAAGCTAATTAACAGATTGGGAGTAGGTGTGAACAGAGACAAAAAGGGAGCTAAGGAAAAGAAGACTGACACAAAAGGGGCAAACAGGAAATATCTAAGAACTCTAATACAATCAAAAATACCTAGAAGAGGGTCGGGAGCGCTTTTCCGAGGTCAGTGTGGTTTGACTGAGGAAGCGAGATTGGAAGACATATGGTCATTTGGTGCATAGTGCTTGTTTCGAAAGTCGCTTGTGGAGAAATGTCCTGGGCCGTGAGTAGTGAGGAAACAGGAAGCGATTCTTGTGGGATGGAAGAGGAAAATAGTGACAATGAAGAAGTTTGGAAGAGGGTAGTATCAAAAAATGAGAAAAAGCGGAAAAAGCAGAGATCAGTTGAATGGGAGTCCAGTTCAGAACATTCAAGTGATGAACATTCTAGAAATTCCACAGGAAAACAGAATGATTACAAATTCATATTCAAACTTGTTAATCAGGCAGACTCTTTTACAAATTGGAATCTGGTTCACTTAACAAAATACATAAATTAACTAATAGGAGTAGTCCGACGTGCCAGAATCCTCTATAGTGGAGATCTATTAGTCAATTGCAAAGACAGCGCTCAGCAAGGCAAAGCAATACGGATCAACAAAATTGAGGGGATAAGAGTTCAGTGCAGCTTGGTGGAGAACAAAAAGATTAGCAGGGGAGTCAGAAACTTAAAGTTTCTGAAAAAGAGATTCTAGAAAACGTAAGTGGTGCAAAAGTACAAGAAGTGAAACGGTAAAAAAAAAACAAGAAATGGAGAAAGATCTGACAGCTTATCAGTGTTAATTAGATTTGAAGAAGAGCAGTTACCCAGCAAAGTTTTCATTGATTATATGAGCTACAATGTTAAAATTTACAATCCTCCACCTCTAAGATGCTTTAACTGCCAAAATGTGGACATATAGCAGCAGTATGCAAAGAAAAACAGCAAAGTGGAAGGTGTGCTGCAGAGCATGAATATGGAAAATGTGGGAAAGAAGCTAAGATCAAATGCTGTAACTGTGGTGGAGAACATACTGCTGCATATTACCGCTGGGAAGTAAGCAAAAGGTCTGAGGAAGTAAAATAAAAATGAAATTTGAGCTCAGAATAACTTAAAAGCAACCAATAGGACCCTCAGAAACTGGCAGAGTGACGATAACTTAAAGATAAATTTGGAATTATGAGGGCAAATATGATTAAGTATTTATTATTTTGTGTTAAGTTTTTTTTTTTTTCTGGGGTGAGTCGTTTCCTGTTGCCTTGCTTTACTCCATATCAGTTGGTGGCGGTAATGCACTTTTAACTAGTTTTTAATGTTGATTGTATATTAAAAGCCAAGTTTGAATGGTTCTTCTAAAACTCACTACCATACTGTATCAGTACATACTCATGTTTTCTAATGCTTTAGAATGATATTTCTAGGGTCTGAATAATGACTTCAAAAAAAGATTAAAGTAGAGCATTTGAAAAATTGAAAAATGAAATTGGGGACAACTCAATTATACAATATGGATAACTTTTTTCCTTTTAATGCTGTGCTTTAGTGGCTTTTAATGACATCCAGCAAAGGTTTTTTTGGTTGACATTAGAACCCAGATTGACAGTATCAAGAAATGTACTGTACCACTACAAGTTGAGCCTAATGACGGAACTTTACCAATTACATAAATTCAATCTTTTAATGATTAAAAAGCCTGATTTCAGAATAGGTTGTTTCTTGTTTTGATGTATATTGTCCAATGGTAGCTGTACACACGTCCTGCCCTGTAGAGAGAAAAAGGTACATTTAACTGTGTAAACTAACAGCAAGTTAGAATATTTCCTACTGTAGTTCAATTTGTTGCGTGTGTGAATGTTAGTGTAATACTAAGGTTATGAATTTGGTGGGGCTTCATGTCTTTAAGCAGAGGATTATACACAGACATTCCTCTACATTTAGCTACACCAGCAATCTTTTCTTCTACATGGTTTCTCTGTAGATACTGTGGTTGTCTAATTAAGCAGACAGAGCAACCCCTTATTGCTGCATGAGGTTTTATTTTGTGGTTTCAACTGACAAGACACAATTTCTCCCCTCATTGCTTTAGATAAAGCCATCTGAAAATAGTTATGAGCTGTTGAGTTATATTGAATATAGTCTTACGCTAATGACACCCTCTGTACACAACAGAGCTGCTCAACCAAGTTAAAAAAGACATCATGCAACAGAAAGTACCTGATCTGATGTTCCCAATCGAAGCATACGTGACTTGGTTTTGTTCATTTTCAGCATTTCCACCTAACAATTTGAAGACAGATAGAAATGAAACTAACACATTTTGTTTTAAACAATTGTGCAAAAAAGCATATTGAAAAAACCCACACCATTCCTCTTTCTTGGTTTGTTGACAACAGCATAAGTAACTTCATTTAGACCTGTGACAGTTTCATCTCTCAATGCTGCAGTGAAACAGAAATGCAAACAGATAAATACATCTAAGTTTCTAAAAAAAATAGCATCATAGTAAAATGTTTGCAAGTTCTGCGTGCGGTCTCTATCTGGGTTTGTAGGTTGATAACAAGGTCGTCCAGTGAAATGTTTTGTAAACCTTGATTTTTAGTTCTTTTGTGCAAGATTTTGTCATAGATTTTAAAGACAAACTATTCCTCAAAACAAATAATTTTGTGAAATAATTTGAGGATTATCTAAACCTTAAGTAGCACAATATTGACCAGAAATAAAAGCTATTCAAATTCAACTTAGAAAAAAAAAGCTTCAAAAAATAAATTAAACAAGACAAATTAGTCAGAAAGCTGAATGTGTCACAAATGGGAGATACAATAGCATAAAGGAGATGAAGAAAAAGGTTCAAATAAAGTAATTAATGGCCTGTACATATATAACAGTTTTTCGAGTCACTTAATTTTAACAATAAATTTCTCTGCCTCTATTATTAAGAAATGGGTTAAAGGTTTCAAACCTTAAGTTTGATGTTACCTTTGCGTTTCTTGAAGAAAATCAGTCCAACTACCAAGAGGATCAATGAAACAAGGGTGCACAAAAGAAACGAGATTACAGGGGCCAGATACTGTACAGGTTGGGCTCCAATATTAGGTCCTAAAATGAAGATTTTAGTAATTAGGCAATAGAAAATTCTTTAAAATATGGATTTGTAAAATCAGAAATACATTTTAGATGCAACAATTTGCTGTGTTCATGTTTTTTTTTAGAGTAATATACATAATCAGGCCTTAAAATTAACTTTGGCTGTTGATTTTCACTAGCCCTAAGTTTGTTGTTAGAAAATGATGTAAATTTTATTAAAACTGACTATGACATGTTGAAGTTTACTTAAACTAGCCTGATAAGTTTTTTTTAATGTAAGTGACCGATGAACATATTAAACAAGACTACAAAACATTTTTATCACTATGTGGCCCCCAGCACTAATACAAAAGAGACCATAAGTGTCCTCTTCCAGGCTATTTCTGAGCAATTTCAATCTGCACACACGGAGGGTGTGTTTATCATTGCTGGGGATTTTAACCATGCTAATTTAAAGACTGTTCTCCCACATTTTAACCAACAAGTGGACTTTGCAATTTGGGGACAGAATCCCTTACATCATAGATACATTCCCCCCCAACCTCCAGTCATCAGACCACCTATCTGTCATGCTAAGTCCTGCATTCCAGCTTATCAAAGCTAAACCTACAGTGAAGCAGGTCAGGGTGTGGACTGAGGGGGTTATGGCGGCACTCCAAGACTCTTTTAAATGCTATGACTGGAATGAATTCAAAGCTGCAGCTATATATGACAACTAGATCAATATAGATGTGTATGCCATGACTGTGTCAGCACCACAAAGAACTTCATTACCCGGGCCAACCAACCAATCTGGATGACTGGGGAGTTTCGAGTATCGCTAAAAGCACATTACTCAGCCTTCAAGTCTGGTGACAGGGAGGACAATGAGAGCCAACTTGAACCATGGTATCAGAACAACTAAACAGAGCCACAGCCAGAAAATCGAGTATCTCTTCCATGATGCAGCAAGACTAGGAGGATGTGGAAAGGCATACGGGCGATTACTGATTACAATATATCCTCCCCCCCCAGTGGGTGTAGCTTATACTTACTTCCTAAATGGACTAAACAACTTCTTTGGAAGGTGTGAGGCAGTAAACCGCACTCCAGCAGTGAAAGTTGTTCCCCATCAGGGTTAGGAGGCACTCAGCCTTGACACAGCTGACTTAACTAGACTCTAAGGAGAGTCAATCCAAGGAAAGCACCAGGCCCCGATAATATACCTGGGTGGGAGTTCAAGGAGTATGCAGGTTTGCTTGCTGGTCTCCTCAAATACATTTTTAACACCTAAAGCAACCAATCCATTGTCCAAACTTTAAGTCTGCCTTCATCGTTTCAGTCCCAAGAAGCCTCAAGTTACCTCATTTAATGACTACCGGCCTGTCACACTGACTCCCATCATGATGAAGTGCTTTGAAGGGCTGGTAAAAAAAACACATCGTCTCCAATCTCCCCCTAATATTTGACCCTCTCCAGTTTACCTACTGACAAAACCGCTTCACTGAAGACGCCATCTCCGCCGCTCTTCACTTGAGCCTAGCACACTTGGAGGAGAAGAACACCCATGTACGGGTAAGTTCCTGGACTAACACCATCACTCACAGCATCTGATTGGAAAACTTGAACATCTGGGCTCCAAACCACCCCTTTGCAATTGCCTGCTAGACTTCCTCACCAACAGACCTCAGTCAGACCTCAGTGTTGGATAGAGCACATGCTTCCCTCAAGGCTGCGTCCCAAGCCCCCTGCTGTTCACTCTGATGATGCCCGACTGCACCCCCAGGTTCACAACCAATCACATTGTGATCTTTGCAGATTACATTAATGTGCTGGGCCTCATTAGAGACAACAACGGCATGGCCTACAGAGAGGAAGTGTAGCAGCTGCTGGGCTGGTGCAGAGACACAACCTTATCCTGAATGTGGAGAAGACGAAGGAGATCTTCAGGAAGAACCATCCTAACCACGCTCCACTGCTCATCAACAGCTCAGCTGTACAGGTGGTCATCAGTACAAATTCCTGGGGTTGTACATCAAAGTCCACCTCAGCTGGACCAAGAACACCTCCTCACTGGTCAAAATGGCACACAAGCACATGCGCTTCCTGGGGAGGATGAGGAGAGCTCACATGCCCCCACCCATCCTCACCACCTTCTACAGAAGCAACATAGTTGCATTAAGGACGTTTCTTCCTGCTGCCCTCTGGGAAGAGGCTTCGCAGCAGTCGACCTGTAGAGTCTCCAACAGCTTTTTCCCTATTACCATAAGACTGTTGAACTGTTGAAAGACTAATCAAGTCACAAATCGAGATTCTGTATCACACTTGTAAACATCATATTTGCACTATATGGCAACTTTTTAAATCCCTGTAAATAGAACTCAACTCAGTGTTCTACTGCATTTTGCCATTTATTCATTTTGCACTGCTCTGAACCTTCCATATTATGCCTTTTGCACCATATATTTAAACTGGTTTTCATTTTCTCCTACACTGTTTACATTTTGCTGCACTTTATAAATGGAAATGTTAATTTCATTGCTAAGCAGCTCATACACTCTGGGTATGCAAAATGACAATAAAGTTTGTCTAAGTCTAAAGTCTAAGTCAATCCTGGGAGAAAAGCCTTGGTAAGAGAGGCAAAGAAGAACCCAAAGACTGTGACTGAGTTCAATAGATGCAGTAGGGAGATGGGGGAAAGTTCAACAAAGTCAACTATCCCTGCAGCCCTCCACCAGTCGGGTCTTTATGGCAGAATTGCCCAACGGAAGCCTCTTCTCAGTGCAAAACATATGAAAGCCTGCATAGAGTTTGCCAAAAAACACATGAACGACTCCCAGACTCAGAGAAAGAAGATTCTCTGGTCTGATGAGAGATAGATTTGTTTGGCGTTATTTCTAAGCAGTATGTGTGGACAAAACCAGGCACTGCTCATCACCTTCCTAATAAAATCACAACAGTGAAACATGGTGTTGGCAACATCATACTATGGGGCTGTTTTTCAGCTGCAGGGACAGGAAAACTGGTTGCAATTGAAAGAAAGAGGAAAACGGCCAATTACAGAAGTATCCTATAAAAAAACCTCTTCCAGAGTGCTCAGGATTGGGACCTGGGCCGAAGGTTCACCTTCCAACAATGCAATGACCCTAAGCACACAGCTAAAATAACAAAGGAATGTCTTGGGAACAATTCTGTGACCATTCTTGAATGGCCTAGCGGGAACCCTGACTTAAACCCAGTTGACCTGAAAATGGCTGTCCACCAACACTCACCATCCAAACTGACAGAACTTGAGAGGGTCTGCAAGCAAGAATGGCTGAGAATCCCCAAATCCAGGTGTGAAAAACTTGTTGCATCATTCTCAAGAAGACTCATGGCTATACTAGCTCAAAAGGGTGTTTCTACTCAATACTGAGAAAAGGGTTTTAATACTTATCACAATGTGATTTTCAGTTTTTCTTTTACAATAAATTTGCAAAAATTTCTACATTTATTTTTTTCTTTAATAATGTGGTGCTGAATGCACATTAATGAGAAATAAAATGAACTTTATTGATTTAACAAATGCCTGCAATGAAACAGAGTGAAAAATGTAAAGGGGTCTAAATACTTTCCATACCCACTGTATATCATTAAGGTATAAGGCAAAGGCAGTGGAGGCCTGTGTATTTTTATTTTTTATTTTATTAGTTAGCCACAATCTAACAAAAAAAACTAAAGATTTTTTTTTAAATAATTTTTTCCCCCAACGGTCATAATGGGATATTGAGTTATAAGAAATTTTATTAATCTAGTACTGTATGGATTTGAAGGTTGTAAAATAACTGAATATGAAGATGTGCAGCGCAGTAAAAAAAACTCTCCGGATGCAATGTAGATACATTTTAATTACCATATTTTCTTAGAGTAAAATCACACATTTTCCTTAAACTAGATTCAGGCATTATCATGCAAGGTCAGACATGACTTCAAGTTTTCATGTCTAAATAATATGTATATATTATAATTTCTTAGTTTTTTACATTGTCTTTTATATGTCTATATTGTGTTAAATTCTGTATGATATATATATATATATATATATATATATATATATATATATATATATATATATATATATATATATATATATATATATATATATATATATATATATATATATATAAACACGCAAAATAGAATGCTAACCATAATAAAAAATAACCACACAAAAATAAAATCTGTTAACCTTTTTCTGGTCTGACAACAGTCAGCCAGCTTTCTGCAGAGTCACCTGCTCCAGAAATGCTGCACTTGTAGAGACCTTCATCAGACTTGGAGATGTTTTCCAGGCTCAGGACGTTTTCATATTTGGTTATGAGCTGCATGCCATCTTTGAAGAAATCTGTTATCTGTGTCTGCTCATTGTTCTTGTGAACACAACGGAGAATCACATTAGATCCTTCATTTACTGGCTGTGCACCAAAGTCGAGGATTACAGAACCAGCTGAGGAAAATGATCAGAATAGTGATCATTTGATCCATACATTTCTATTGATTATAGACTTTCACAATCAATATAAGCATAGAGCTTAACAATACTTTTTATATAAAATATTGTACTGTATATTCAGACCTGTAAAAGAGATGTTGAGAGCACGGCTTCGTTCTCCCTCATCATTTTCACACCAGTATTCTCCACTGTGGCTTTCAAAGGACAGATCAATGGTGCAGGATGGAGCTGGGATATTGCAGTCATCAGATACATTTGTTGGACTCATTATAAAAAGTTTTCTTATCACTTTCCATGCATTCATGTCTTTGTTCTCGCCACAACTTATGAAGACAGGGTCATATTCAAAGAACTGAAGTCTGTTTGGAAAAATTGATGGAAAATCTGTGATGGCAAAAAAAAATGTAAATTAACTGATAAAGTAGAATATAAATGGCAATATAAATCTTCAAAAATAGCAACAATAGGACAACAAAAGCAGCCTATGAGACAATTTAAGTTACCTTTATTTATTAATTAACATTTGATTTCAGCTAAATTTGCACTCAGGCAGCTTAAAATATTTCAAACAAGTTCATAAGGAAATCAAAATGTTTAGAGATTTAACAATTTTTGAAATAATTTTATAACCCACCAGGCTTTTGAAGGAAACAGCTTTGTCCAGGTAGTGTTGACAGCAAGAAAACCACATTAATCACTGCAGAGAAATAAGAAGTGTGTTTTGAATTCAACCTTACAATTCACTAAGAGAAAGAAAATAAAAAGAAACTCACAGATTTTAATGCTGAGGGCGGTCATCTTCATGACCGATGCTCAATGCTGACTGACAACTGTCTTACTTTGACACATAGAAGATACACAGCTCAGTACTTCCTCTTCCTGTTTGGACCGTTACTAAAATAGCAGGCAGAAACTGTTAGCTGTGAATAAAAAGTAACACAGAAGTGGACATTATGTAATAAAAAGAGAAATAAATAGCTGTCGTTTGGTTTTCTAAAACAGAATCTGAATTACATTTTTGTTCGAGGAAAAAGACACAATTTAGCTGATTTATCTCTTCATTTCATTGATATAATACTGTTACCTATGGTCAGTTGTGATGAACATAGGGCTAATTCTTATGAGAAACACTTTTTCATATGCAGAAGTAGCCAACTCATGCCGCTATTTTTTTATGAGGTAAGAAAAAGATTTAGCAGCTTTGGCCACTGGAAAAACTCTTATTTCAGTTACTCTGTTTCCATCTTGTGCCTGTTTCCTATCCCATTGTCTCCCTTCTAGTCAGTGTCATGACTCTGCACTTTTTGGTACTGTTTTAGTTTTCTTTTTGGAGTATTAAGTTATACTTTATTCATGTCATTCGGTGTTTTCTAGTTTATTGGTTTTAATTTCCATTTTGTGTTATTCTAGTTATTTTTTATTGTATTGAAGTCCTTACTGTAGGTATTGTTTGTCCTCTGTTGCCCTCTTTGTCAGGCTCAAAACCTTGTACGCAATATTCAAACAGACAGATCAGAATGAGTTCTAACAGTCTTTATTAATAAACTGGGTGCAGCTGCTTGCCAGCTGGAGCGGCCTGCTGCTTACCTTATGCCGCCACCAAGTCTGTTCAGTTTCCTCTGTGGTCCCAGCCGCCACCTTTATGACTCCCAGTTGTCCCCACCTCTTAGGACTTAGGACCACACAATTTCTAATCATAACATCTGATCCTCCAGAGCAAAAGGCATCAGAAATTTTTCATTTTTTTATGGGGAGTGAGAGGACTTTTTCCCTTTTCTTCCACCTCCATCAGCTCACTGCCAGCCAAAGCCATTTAGTGGTCCGGTCCCCGAGCCAGAACCCTTTAGCGGTCCGGTCCCCGAGGCAAAGCCTTTTAGCGGGCCGGTCCACCAACCACAGACCCCTGAGAATGCTCTGTGCCATCTAAAGACCCCTGAAACAAACCATAAACTGCATTTTACCTGCCACCACTTTACTGTACATAAGATACTGTATATATATGTCACCATCCAGTGTATACAGTATATCTGGATGCACTTTATCCTGTATGATCCTGTATGTTTATACCCAATAGCCACTGTCACCAGTGAATTTATCCATAAAGTTCTATTAATTTATTAATTATTCATTCATTCTCTATTGTTTTCTTAAGTAAAAAGTCATTGTTAGAACTATTCTCAGCCAATAATTGTTATCTGCACCTATACGTTCAGTTGTTATGACTGCAGAAAATACCGCCAACGTTGCTTCCTCAATATTTACTCCTGCCAGCTAATGGGCCAGGCTTGTTTCAGAGATACTGATCCCAAAATGCAGCGATGCAGGATGAGCTCCATCATGTAACGAGGCGTTAACGCATATAAAGTCTAAAGTAAAAATGCCTTAATTTCTTAAAACCACTTGCCTTCCATTTTAAAAACTTTGTTAGGATCCAAAAAAAAAAGAAAATGGCATATCCACCGTACCTGTTGAATTTTGGTGTTGATTTCTATTTTCGTTGTCTTGCTACTTGCCTGACTTTCAGGAAACGTGTTTAGATTAGATTAGATTCAACTTTATTGTCATTACACATGTACAGGTACAAGGCAATGAAATGCAGTTTAGGTCTAACCAGATGTGCAATAGCAGCAAGTGCAGGATAAATAATGGTTCCATAAATACTGGACATGGGTATTTCTACTGAATGAGTATAGAAATTAAAACTATTATAAACAGATGGATATTACTATTAAAAAAAGGTTTTTACAGTTATGTACAATAGCATAATATACAGATGGGTTTAACTGTAAAGTGAACAAATAGAGTTAGGCCAGAAGCTATCTAAATTAAAATGCAGTGGAAGGTAATTGCATATTACAATTATTACAGTTTCCTATACAATCAGCATTATAATGGCTACTGGTTGCCATGGAAAACATGCTTTCATCAGCAAGGATCTGTCTGAGCGTGTGTGAGTATGATAAAGCGGCAATAGTGTTTAAAAAAATAACTCACTCCTAGAGTGATCCACAAATGTAGGATTCAGTTCTCACATGCAAAAATATTTATCACACTAAAATCCTTGCATGGAAATCAGACATTGTAAAAGTTAGTGGCTGAAGTAATACATTTTTTAGTAAATCAATTTCCTTTTATTAAATCTAATTTGATACTGATTTCCCTCCAACCTCTAGACTTTTTTATTTTACGTCGATTATTTCTCTACACTTGTTCTGTCCTTTATTGACCCTTCTTACATGTTCTCACTAATGACAAAAAAAGTAGAGATATTGGGAAAAAAGGAAAAACAACAGGAGCATGAAAAATAAAATACTTAGAAGCTTATTTTATTTGATTCAAAAGAAACTATTTGAAAGAAAAGTCAAGCAAAATACAAAAAATCTTAATGGGCATTTGATACTGCATTCAGAAATAACAGCTTACATGTTTAATGCAGAAAATATCATTACAGTTAACTCCTGTGTTTGTGATACCAAAATAAAATATTTATAAAATGAGTAAAACACATAACGGTTAACAAAACTATGTATTTTCTAAAACATGTTTTGATTCAAAAGCTTTTTACCGCTGCATTATTTTTATTACTTTAAACAACCATCAGTTAATATCATTTTGACTAGTGTAGGGCCTCCTATATACAATCTAAATAGAGTAATTATTACTGTTACATTTTTTATCAGAATTAGGTTTTATCAGGAAGCCATACATTTATTACTGTGTGAACAAAAATTGCCTTGTTTATGGCATAAGCATGATTTAGAATACAGATTAAAACATTTTGATGAAACATCAAAGCAAAAGCCCAGCCATTTCTTTCTTTTATTTAGAACACTGTTCTTTTTTAGCACTTTTTGTTCATTCTAAACATCTCAATTTCCCTCTTTTACTCATTTTAGCTGAATATCTATAGGTTCCAGTTCCTTCTCTATGTTAAGTAACTTAATTTCATCATTTTTCTTTTTCATATTCAGATCCCACAGTGATTTTAACATCTTTTCTTTCTTTGCCAATAATTCCTCCATGCCATCAGAGGTTTCTTTCTTATTGATTTCCTCATCAACCAGCCGTAGTTCCTTTTTGCATTCCTCCCTTTGTTTCTCAACCTCTTCTAGCTGTCCGCATAGATTACTTTTCTGTGTCTCCAGTTGATCCTTTATTTGATTCAGCGTGTGAAGTAACTTTTTGTTGTCCTCTTGTAAGGTCTTCAACTTGGAGTCTGCTGTTAGAAATATGACACAGGTTTTAAAGGACTACAATATATGACAAATTAGAAAACGGTCAAAGTAACAGGACACCAAATAAAGCAGTAGTTTATTGTATCAGTTGTTTTAGAATTAAAATTTAGTTTGTAACAATAAAAACATATTGACCACTGACAAATTTACTTAAAATATGACATTTCTTTTTTAACTTTTTAAAAAATTTCATCTTATCTCAGTAATTGGAGTTTTCATCCTCAAATTCTTTAAGTTTTTAGGTTTTATTTTCACTTTTGTCATGTTTTTCTCCACTGATTTAAAGCATTGAAAGTAATTTGAAACGTCGTGCAGATTTAAGCTTTATAGAAAGGCAGCTAAATTGACAAAATGTAGAATAAAGGCTTCTGTATTTTTTATCCTCTTTTTATTACTTTTTTATGTGTGTTTTGCGAAGTCTTTTTTTGAATGTAATTATACTCCAAGGGGTTCTTTAACTTTTTCTAAGAAACCAATATAGCTGACAAAAGCATTTGATATAACCAAGACACTGCTCAGGGGTAATTATAATAAAAATATATAAGTATATGTGTTTCTTTCATTCTTTTCTACCTGAAATTTGGCTCAAAGCTAATGTTAACTGTTTCCTTACTATACAGAGCCACCTATGGGGGTAGTTTACTACAGTTTACTACTGCATTCTTCTGCATTCTGTGAGGTCAATGATCTACATATTTGTAGATCATTGACTTCACAGCGCTTTATCCAATGCTTTCCCAATACATGAGTCCTCTTAAGGGTCCTTCAAATGTGGCCGATTAATGCATTTTTCTTGTAGGTTGATTTGTAAGAGGCATCAAAACATCAAAACCCCTAGTGGCCCCCAACTTGCTATGATTTAGTGAGGGTCAAAAAGGTTTGGTCAAGTATGGCTGCATTGGTAGACAGTGGTGGGAAAATTGTCCAATCCAATTGTATTTTGTTAAGCAAAACCGCACCTGAACAAACTGCTGTACAGAAAAATAAATAAATAAAAAAAAATTACACATCTTAAACAAACACATCTTAAGGCTGATTAGACATTAGGAATTAGTTAGATGAATTGTTTGAGATGTCAAAACTGGGCGTATGAAGGCAGCAAAAGAACAGTTGAGAACAGGATGTAGACTCCAGATGACAGGCAGCAGTTAGCGCTGATGCAACAATGCTTCCTGTTCATCCACACCAAGGAGCCTGAAGCACTGATGTGTGGTTATTTAGTGAGAAATGAAATGTAAAGCAGTTTGCCGTACTTTCAGCAAAGAATAGAAATGTGATTTTTTAAGTTACTAAAAATATTGAAGTACATTGTGACTGACAGGCCTTCCCTATTAGTTGATGATGGAAGTATAAAGTGATTATGTTTTTGCAATATGTAACAATGTATTCAAACCAGAGGGCCCTGTGCTATGTCTGTAATATGTGTATGGATGTAAGGATTCATACTTTAAACATATAATAAAAGTTAAATCCGTCAATTCAATTCAATTCAGTTTATTTATATAGCGCCAAATTCACAGAACATGTCATCTCAAGGCACTTTACAGTTCAACCAGATCATACAGTCAAATTGATACAAAGTTTTCTATCTAAGGAAAACCAGTTGATTGCATTGACTCATTGACTCAAATACAATCCCTCACACTAAGCATGCCTGTAGCGACAGTGGAGAGGAACCAAGGACCCAAGGTGGACATGACAGAATATATATGAGCAAGCAGTTAGGAAATATTTATGTCTAAGTTGCACAGCTTGCATTCCATATTTACCCCATGTCATTTGAATGGTGTAGTGAGCTTATGCATACCCTTTTATGTTTAAACCAGATACTCAGGCATTCCATTGGCCTAGAGAAAGGGTTCTATGCTTCTTGGAGCCAAAAAAAGAAAGCTACGTTTCATTAAAGCAGGTGTTTGGGTTATTCCATCACAGAAGACAAAGTTAACATCGAGGGACCAGGAAGTAAGAAGACAACTTTTGCTCCTTTTCTGCGATTCCATCTGAGCCAAGCCCGAGAAACACACCTTTCTGGGCCACCTATTTATTAATATTTATTATATTTATTATTAATTTATTCGGTAGAGTCAAATTCTTGTGCTTGTTTGAAGAAGAGGTCAAAGGCTGTGAAGAACAGAAGACAGGGGACCAGAGAAAAAGATGACCAGGAAAAGAGGAGGCTGTATGACCAGGATCAGATGTCCAAAGGAAAAAGAAGGTCAGTGGAATTGACCATTTGAGTGGTCGAAGAGTTTATCCGGATACTTTTGTTGGTTTAGAGACTAATTTAGGAGATTAGGAGAGAATCAACCCAGACCGGAGTTAGGAGATTGAAGATCACCCTTTCTGCTATGGAAGTGAATTAAAATGGATTAAGGGAAAAGCTTTTTTTACTTTCACAAGAAGCTGCTTTTTTCGTAAAGAAATAATCGAAACTAAATTTTAATTTTCTTCTCCAAGACTGATAAGTTTGTAATTCACTTGAAAATAACGTTAAAAATAATGTTTTACATAAAATTTTCAAAAGATGTCTGTGAAAAAAAAAATAATAATAATAACAATAATAATCTTAAATTGTCAAATTTGAAAGTAAAATGTTTTAATTGAAAAGCTTTTTGTTTTGAGGTCATTGCTGCATTTTTTCACTCATTTATAAAAATGCTAATTGATAATCCAAACTATGTTTTCATTTTATTCTTTAAGTCAAGTTAACCTGTTACCAAATTAAAATGATTATGAAAGGGATGTTTGATATTAGTTTTTCTAAAATAAATGCCAGCAAAAAGTTTTCAAAATGTTTTCCTGATTTAAAAAATCAAAGCAGCATTTTTTTGTGTCATTAAAAGAAATATATGGGGCAAGAGGATTGTCATTGACGTCACCCTCCTGCACCACTTTGGATTGCAAATTCAAAATGATATATAGAACATTTACCTCGAGTAAATTGTTCGAACTAAAGTACTAGATGTAATCAGTTGGGTTTCCTTTAATAGTGAACTTGCAACCAATCTGACTGTATGATCATCTGATTGAAACAAGCGCCAACATGGGTAATATTTTTATGCAGCTCTATCAACCTTGGTTCTCAACCTTTGTGAGTCCTGACCATCAATTAAACATGCACTATTGTCCACGAGCCTCCCTGCGCCTGATCAATATACTTATGTATATGTAATATGTTGCATTTACATAATCAAAAAAACACTTTTGAATTCACAGCTATTAGTCACTTTATCTTTTCATTTTGGAACACACTGGGGTGTTTTGTAGAAAACATGAAGAGGCATTAAGAGCTTTACTTTCCAAACAGACCCATAATGTTGTGATTAAAGTATAACTGCAAAATTTATTTCTTAATTTCTTTATAATAAAAAGACGACAGTGTGTGCTGAACTTTAGCAAAACACACCAGAAAACAGTCTACATTTAATTTAAATTATCCATGTTGCTGAGAGCTTAAACATGAAAAAATAAAAATAACATCCTGATTAAAATAAGAAATGTTTTTTTTTTTCCAACTATTTATTGTAACAGCTGGGTCTTTTTGTTTCTTCCCCTCATTCAGGACCGACAAGCTACACCACTGTCGCATCTGTATATATGTATATAGTATATAGCTATATACTATATATTGTATATGGTATGTTGCATGTATTATATAGCATACAGCTATAGATTCTGTATTCTGTATACATATCTAATTTTTCTGCAGCATCAACACCAAGTTAAATTCATTGTAAATGCAAACCTACTTGGCAATAAACTTGATTCTGATTCTGAACAGAGCAGCTGCATTCTTGGCTTTATGTTTGAGAAGGCAATGGGGAGACTCTTGCCTGGTTCTGCTGGAGGTTTCTTCCTGTTAAAAGGGAGTTTTTCCTCTCCACTGTCGCTACAAGCATGCTTAGTGTGAGGGATTGTATTTGAGTCAATGAGTCAATGCAATCAATTGGTTTTCCTTAGATAGAAAACTTTGAATCAATTTGACTGTATGATCTGGTTGAACTGTAAAGTGCTTGGAGATGACATGTGTTGTGAATTTGGCGCTATATAAATAAACTGAATTGAAATTGAATTGAATTACTCTCAGGAATCAAGGTATGTATTTTTTATTTTTTATCTATATAGGTGCTCAGAAGATCTTTTTGCACAGACGCGAGGTTGCAAATAAATAAAGGACCACAATAGTATCATTGCAGCTTTTCACATTGCAGCATACTTTGTTGCTACTGACAATAACTTTTTCAGCATGCATGCAGAGAAAGCGCACTGTAAAGTGCGATCAGAGGAGAGATCGAGCAGCTCTGATGACAGGCGATGTGTGGTGAAGGTGGTGAACATCTGGTGTATCCAGTTGTAGTTTTCTTATGTGTCATTACTTATACTTATTGCAATACTTATTGAAACTTTCAAGCAGGGTCCTGAGGTTAGAGGTAATAATTTGTTTCATAGTTTAAATGGTTATGTTGTAACTACCCATAAAGTCTCAATAAGCATTTCAACATTTTCCCCAATCAACTCGCAAAGCCCACCGCTCCAGCTTTCTCTTCTGTGACCTTATCAGAGAGAATAAATCATTTCTGTTTGGGCCCTGTAGGCACAAGTTTAGCTGTTGAGTTGTATATGTGAGGCTTGCAACCCACTTTGGTTTCTTTCAGATAATCAGTAAAGGGAGAACAACAGTCTGATAAAAACAATATGCAGGACAAACTCCCTCTTTAGAAGTTTGTCATGAGAAAGTCATCTTAGCAGGCTCTTAGCAGAATGTCACGCACAAATCAGAATCTCATACAAACCGAGCAAAAGGAATTTGAGTAAAAATGAAGCAGTAAACCAATCTCTATTTGAATTTGTGTAATTTAATATAAATGTAATTATCCTTACTTTTATAGTAAAAGTTTATTTGAGGTCTGTCTTTTCAGACTGTGTGTGACTCTTTCTGCAGGCGCCGCTCCTACTGACAGCACACGCCAGAGAGGGAGAGATGGAGGATAGGGAGAAACAGAGTTACAGCCATCAGTAACCTGTTTTGAGAAATAAAATGCCTGTTTGAGACCAACTGCTCACCATCCTTCTAATGTCTGGTTGGAAACTGCATACATTTTGAGCATTTATATTTATCCAAAATTATTTGGTGTTATGATCTTACATTCTAGTCCTTTCGTTTCTGTTAAGTTTTTACTTTTGTGGGTTTTAAAGTATGCTTTGTTTTGTTTCTTTGTTCTATAGATTTTCAGCATTTTTCATATTCTTAGTTTTGCTTATGTTATTTCCTCTGTAGTGTCTCCTAGTATTTTGGCTCTTGAGTTTCTTGTTGATTGGCTCTGGACTATGGATTCTGTATTTTTACTTCTTGATTAAATCTTGCAAGGACTCATCCCTGCCTCTTCTACTCCGCATTTGGGTCCACAAAAACATCTACCAGCCTTGATATTTGGTGACCCCAGTAATCATCTCACGATCCTATTTGGGGTCTTGCTTACCTTTTCTGTTCTCAGTATCTTGGTTCTTTGAAGTGGGAGTTGAAGCTAGGGGTTAAAGGAGAGATGGAATGAAATATGAGTGAAGGAAACTATCTTTGTTAAAAGACAACAGTTATCACTGAACAGGATGTTTTCAGCTTTTAAATATATATAGATCTGTGCTGGAGCTAATTCGGTAGAGGGTACACAAACAATCTCATAAAGAGACAAATGCCCATAGACCTTTGGTGTGTGCATGGGTTTGTGTGTGTGTGTTGTGGGCCCAGTTGTCAAGGTAAATGGCAAGTTGTGGGGACCGACTGCTCCTTGTGGGGTCCGATGTCTGGACTCCATACGGGGAATTGCTGTTTTTGGATCAGCAGTGATGTTTAGGACTATGGTCTAAATTTAATTTAGGTTAAGGTTAGGATAAGGGTCACGGTCAAGCTGGAGAGATTAACTGAACTCAATGGAAAGGCCTAAAAAAAGGCTCCTGAATAGCAAGTCTTTATCAAAAAAACTGAGCAGACTTCTGGTTGCCTCTGATATAAACATGTTCTCTGGCTCTCTAAGCATAATTTTCATTCTGTGGGGGAGGGAACTGAAACTAGGAAGGAGGGAGTCAGAGTACTCTGTGGAGTCTATATTTATTGTTAAGAATAAAGAAATGCAATTAAAATGTATATTGCAAGTGTAGATTATGTCTGCACAACATATACACTTTCATATTACTATATATTGGTGTAATTATGCACTTTATATAAGAATATCAGTTGAAGTCACTGCGGCAACACAACTTTAAGGTAATTATTAACCACATTCCAAAAGACATCCATTTTAAAACATTAATATCAGTTTCAAATATAGACAAGGAAAGAATATGATAATATGATTTTATTGTTTTGGGGCCAAGAGATTAAAACTATTGTACACTAAACATGTTACATTAGAAGAAAGTTTAAAAGCTGAAACTAATTATGTTTAGTTAATAATGTTAAAGCATATCCAAGTCTCTGAAAAACAGGATTTACATGTAGCAAAAGGCTAACCACATCAATATGGGGTTTTTCTATACTTTAAATAAACAAAAAAACCAGATAAATTAAATGAAACCAATAGGGCATAAAAAAACATTTTAAAAGCGTACCTGATGAGCCCATGATTTAGCCAGCTTGTCTCAGCTAACGTCAGAATATAACGTGTAACAGGGTCAAAGTCCAGCAAAGAGGACTAAGCTGCTTTATGGCTTTACCCGTCTTCCCATAATTTATTTTTGCATGAGTAAAAAATATATAGATTAAAAGAGCATTGTACAAACAAAAACGGAAAAAAAGACACTTATAATTTTTTTTTCATTTCAAATTCCAAATATTTCATAAAATTGATCAAATCAAAGCTACAGTGTGAAAGAATTACAGGAATTTCCTAACAGGAATGCAATATATTGTACACAAGTGTTATATATTTCTTATCTTCAAACTAAAAATCCAAATCTTTGTTTGTGTTGCCTCAGAAATTGTTTTTTTTTTTTATTTTTTTTTTACATAGGAGCAGGTCTCGCATTTATGGAGGTCTACGTCTTTGCACTATAGCAGCATATTCTAACTAGTGACTGTAAACTAGTAAATGTGGAGGTTGCCATTGTGCACTCTGGGGTATATTCGCTATATTTGCCTATATAAATTCTGTATCTTCTATATCCTATCTGTTTATAACATGATCAACGGAAACAAACCTGTTCATCACTTCATAAGAAGATAATGCGGACGTTGCAGAACTCATTTTGTATCATGATGGTCTCTGTAATCCTAAAGGGGGAGAACTGGTTGGGAAGCGATTTATGTTGCTGCAGTTTGACCAAATCAAAATGACACACTATAGCTTTAAAAGAAACCAGAGCAAGGCCTTGATTATTTTATTTGCCAAGAAGCTTCAAGAAAATCACCCAGTAGATTTATTCTGAGGCTCAAAGTCTGTTTTTGTTTTATGATCCCATATATTAGAATACCTGGCTTATATTTAACTAAAGCCAGTCCGAGGAAGGAAATATTACGTGGATTTGTAAAAACAGCTATCCTAATTTTTCTTTATTGTGTAAATGCAGTTCATTGAAATCTGGTGTCTTATTTTACTAAAGGTTTTGATATGGAAATAACTATAGGATTTAGTTTAAGAACTTTCTGGCTTCATATAGATTTTTATGGCAGCTAGACCCTGTCAGTTATTATCTAACTCCTTATAGGTTTTTTTAATCTTTAGAAGAAAAATCCTCAGTCTATTTAGGGTAATTCATCTGCTTAAGTAAAAGCTTCTTTTGGGGGAGAAATCTGTTAAAGTAGGCTTGAAAGTTATTAAAAAGGGGTCAGAGAGGATGGGGTTGTGATGAAATACAGCTATTTCTTTGCATTAAATGCCATACTTCACAATATCCAAAGCATGAAGATGGGAAAGTGTAGCATTTTTCACATTTTGAACCAATCTACTTGAGTCTAACATAGCATTAAAGATTGCATTTAAGCTATCATGTTCACTGTCAGCATGATTGCTAAAATACTTCACTATAATGACCCAGTGTTTAACACTAAATCAGATAGGACCTTTGAGAGTGAAGACCTGGTTGATGATAAAAAGTTACAAACAGCATGGGTTTTGTTACAATATTTATTGGGAAAACTAGGGTTAGATGTTCATGTAACTATTAACTGGCTTTGGATGAATCAATAAATCAGACTGAAAGATTGTTGCTATAGCTCCTCCTCCCCCAGGATTTATGTGTACTTTAAATTTAAACTAGAGGGAGTTGTCTCATTTATGCTCACGCATTCTTGTTGCTGCCAAGTTTCAGTAAGACAACATTAAACAATTTGATTAGCAAATAATTAACCAAAAGAGTTTTCAGGACACCACCTAGACAACCAGTGGTTGAATGATGCCTTGTGATTAAACATGTCATCACTGGTCAGATCATGGAGGGTCAAGATAAAATTACCGACATTAGCTTTGGCAAACTTACACACTAAAGGAACACTGATTTTATTGACCTTTGATCGTCATAAATGGGGTAATTACTACCAGTGTAAATAAAAATCTTACTGTATTTAACCTTAGCCAGCAGTTTCAGTTAAGATTTGATGAGAATGCTTTGCTCTTTTTTAACCAACCTTTCTCTTCAAAAGAGTCTGTTAAATAGTTTTTATTTAAAGCTAACTTATTCATCATTTACCAATAAGTATTGGAAGGGCCATTTCTTTAGATGTAAATTAAATCAAATAGAAATACAAAGGACTGCTTTAAAAAAAAAAAAATTAAATAAGTAATGATCATTTGCATATTTAACCACATTACAGTTTTTATTTGAAATGGTAAACAAATCATTTTGCAATTAACTTGCAATTACATATTTAAATGAAAGACCTGTCTGATCAATGTAAACCAAAAATCGCCTCATTGCCACCTGCTGAATTAAAATACTAAATCAACTCTTTTATTTGTAAATCATTTACAAATTCTAAAACAAATAAAGAAAAGACCATAAGAAATTTTAAGAAAGTTTACTATGTTCATTAATTTGCCATTTATTTATTTTGAAATAAATGTATTTTTTAATAAGTATTTGTTTCATAAAAACATGATTGATGATGATTTATTAAATTGTAGAAAAGTTATAGTTTGCTCAGATGTACAAAACAGATGTCATATTCTGTAGTATGAAGTTCTGCCTCCTGAAATGTGTTTGCATCAACAAATCATTTCTATTTTCTTGTCGGACAAATAAAACACTTCTTAAAAGCCTCAGAAAAAGTTCCCAAAGTCTGCAGCAAATGTGTGGGGTTTAAAACTTTTGAAACTTTTCTCCCATTACAGTGTGACGATGCGGAACAAAACTACAGAATTTATTTCATTCTGTCTGAGTAATGAAATTACGTCTTTGTCTCCATCTCTTTGAGCTTTTTTTGTAACTCAGTTATATGATTTCCTATTCTCTCTTCTATTTCCTGCAGGCTATTAACCTCATCCTCTGTGATTTTTATTAGTTTCTCTGTCATCAGTTCCAAACATTGAGGATCTTCTGTTTTATCAAGCAGGTAGTGACGGATACCTATTATAATTTCTTTTAGTTTTGAATATCCATTAACTTCAACAATTTCTTTAAGCTCGCTGTCATTCTCCTCTAGCTCTTTCACTGCCTTCTCTTTTTTATCAGTGAGGGTTTTTTTCTGCTCCTTCAGCTTCTCTAATGTATCTTTCAACTTTTGTATCTGCTGATCAGTGATTTCTTGCTCCTCAGTTCTCCTCTTTAACTGCTCCTGAAGTTTAGATTTTTTTGTCTTTTGCTTTTCATCCTGCATGAGTTGGTTTAGCTCTTCATTTGGTTTCACTGTAGAAAACATGAAATAAATAGTGATTAAGGTTTTGCATGAGCACAGTGCCTATCAGTAACACAGATACTGAACAAAGCAAGTTGTTCCTTCAAATCTTGATTTTATTTGCTTCATACTAAAATATCTGAAAGAATTTCATTTTACTCACCTTTTTTGCTTTGTTGCTTCATTCTGATAAAAAAGAAAACTCCAAAAACGAGCATGAGAGCAAAAACAACATTAAAGCCGATAGAAACCGAGCAGTCAGACTGGACAATGAAGAAATCATCTGAAACAAATTCAAATACACAACAGTTAAAAAAATAACATCAAATACAGGTGCTGGTCATAAAATTAGAATATCATGAAAAAGTAGATTGATTTCAGTAATTCCATTTAAAAAGTGAAACTTGTATATTATATTCATACATTACATACAAACTCATATATTTCAGATGTTTATTTTGTTTAATTTTGATGATTACAAATGACAACAAATGAAAATCTCAAATTCATCATATCAGAAAATTAGAATATTGTGAAAAGGTTCAAAATTGATGGCCCCTGGTGCCACACTCTAATCAGCTAATTAACTCAAACCACCTGCAAAAGCCTTTAAATGGTCTTTCAGTCTAGTTCTATAGGCTACACAATCATGGGGAAGACTGCTGACTTGACAGTTGTCCAAAAGACGACCATCGACACCTTGCACAAGGAGGGCAAGACACAAAAGGTCATCGCTAAAGAGGCTGGCTGTTCACAGAGCTCAGTGTCCAAGCACATTAATAGAGAGGCGAAGGGAAGGAAAAGATGTGGTCGAAAAAAGTGTACAAGCAAGAGAGATAACCGCACCCTGGAGAGGATTGTGAAACAAAACCCATTCAAAAATGTGGGGGAGATTCACAAAGAGTGGACTGCAGCTGGAGTGAGTGCTTCAAGAACCACCACACACAGACGTATGAAAGACATGGGTTTCTGCTGTCGCATTCCTTGTGTCAAGCCACTCTTGAACCACAGACAGCGTCAGAAGCGTCTTGCCTGGGCTAAAGAGAAACAGGACTGGACTGCTGGTGAGTGGTCCAAAGTCATGTTCTCTGATGAAAGTAAATTTTGCATTTCCTTTGGAAATCAAGGTCCCAGAGTCTGGAGGAAAAGAAGAGAGGCACTTCATCCACGTTGCTTGAAGTCCAGTGTAAAGTTTCCACAGTCAGTGATGGTTTGGGGTGCCATGTCATCTGCTGGTGTTGGTCCATTGTGTTTTCTGAGGTCCAGGGTCAACGCAGCCACATACCAGGAAGTTTTAGAGCACTTCATGCTTCCTGCAGCTGACCAACTTTTTGGAGATGCAGATTTCATTTTCCAACAGGACTTGGCACCTGCACACAGTGCCAAAGCTACCAGTACCTGGTTGAAGGACCATGGTATCCCTGTTCTTAATTGGCCAGCAAACTCTCCTGACCTTAACCCCATAGAAAATCTATGGGGTATTGTGAAGAAGAAGATGCAATACACCAGACCCAACAATTCAGAAGAGCTAAAAGCCACTATTAGAGCAACCTGGGCTATCATAACACCTGAGCAGTGCCACAGACTGATCGACTACATGCCACGCCGCAATGCTGCAGTAATACAGGCCAAAGGAGGCCCAACTAAATACTCAGTGCTGTACATGCTCATACTTTTCATGTTCATACTTTTCAGTTGGCCAACATTTCTATAAATCCTTTGTTTTTATTGGTCTTCAGTAATATTCTAATTTTCTGATATGATGAATTTGAGATTTTCATTTGTTGTCATTTGTAATCATCAAAATTAAACAAAATAAACATCTGAAATATATGAGTTTGTATGTAATGTATGAATATAATATACAAGTTTCACTTTTTAAATGGAATTACTGAAATCAATCTACTTTTTCATGATATTCTAATTTTATGACCAGCACCTGTACCTTGTTTGTTCCTGAAATTGTTTAAGGTTTTTACCTGGAATATGAATGTGTGTCTCTTTGGTCTGGTTGATGTCTTTCTGTTGGAGTCTACAGGTAAAGTAGTTGTTATGTCTCTTTTCCACAGTCACTCTACTACTGACATTGTAGACACCATCAGAATCTGTGATTGTCTCTGGAGGTCCTGCAGAGATGATGTTCCCTTCCCCATGCAACCAGACGACCTCTGGTTCTGGATACCAGCCTGCACAGCTGCAGTCTAAGATCACTCTACCACTGCTTGTATCAAGTCCTGCCAAACTGATACCAGGTGAGGATACTGAGCCTGACAATAAGACAACAAGCTGATTATTTTTTGTTATCTGTCCTGAAATCCAAGAAACTGGGAATGGAGAGCTATTGAGGCATCAGAAGATGTTCTTCTGGAGCTCAGAGTTGAAAATTCAGCAAGAGGTCTGATTCACTTAGGAGGGAATTTATTAAAAAGCGTTTATTGCTACATGGCTAATTAAATTATCTACTTAAAGAAGAGTAAGTTTAATCTGTAATGCTCAGAAAATCTATAATGGTAGGAAAATTGGCCAATCACCTGATTTTCAGGTCATCGGCCACGACTGTCTTGCCAGCGATTATGAAGACGACTGATTCCAAGCACCAGTCATTCTGTTTTTGATGAGTTTCTGTTGAAGTGGACATGCACCTTTCTTCCGAACTTGGTCTATTTTTGTTTTGGCTAAGTGTCTAAGACAGAGGGAGGAATAACCGGAACAATAGAGGTAAGTTGTGGGGGCGATCTCAAGCTCAGACAGGAGCGTCGGGAAATCAGTTTGAGGACAAGAGTGCCAGATCCGGGACAAGGTGGCCAACCTTTCCCCCCTCTGGAGAACCAGCAGGAAAAGTGGTAGCTTGCCCGTGCTAGCTCTGGAAGAAAGTGGAGGAGCACAGTGGTGGACCAGATAAGCCAGTTGAAGGCGGGGGGAGGCTCCAACTGGCCCAGGCTAGCTAGAGAGGTTAACTACTGAGGATCACATCAGGATGGCAGAAGATCTGATAGGCCCGCCACGAAGGGTGAAAGCTGATGTCCACCAGTGAGACAGAGCAAGAAAAGGTGGCAGTAGGCCAAGGCTAGCCTCTGGAGGCAAACTGAGGAATATGGACGGAGGACTGTGGAGGATCAGAGGAGCCTGCAGGCCGGACACAGCAACAGAGCACAGGAGATAATTTAACAGCTCACTGGTGTCTCTGCTGGAGGTAGGGAGATGAACAGTCCTTCTAGTGCTAAACTGAAAGGTTTTTTTTTTTTTTAAGAGCCAATAATAAACATTTTAAGAACATTCCCAGCTTTATCATTTGTCAATATTATTTTATTGATCTCCCATTTTGATTAAAACATGCTTTTCTCTTCTGACACCCTCATTAAAAGAGTGGATAATTAATGATACTTTCTGATCTCCTAATTTTTATACTTAATGATATAATGTTAATGTGCATGAAAAAACATTATTGAATAATTTATTGATTTGGTGCCTGAATCAGTGATCAGCAGATATTTATTTTGGTGATTGACTCCCAAAATCCTGATCTGTGCATCTCTAATATATACAAACCTCGTCATCACTTGACTAGATAGGGCTATGAGGATGTCTGTACCATGATAACCTCCCTGTTGTTGGAGAAGATGTGAGAGGAGCCAGTCATGTCGCTGCAGTCCCACCATTAAATATCACTTGAAATTACCGTAGCTCTACTTTATGTTGGACCTTACTAAAATAAATTTGTTAATCTGACACTAATAGATAAGCTAAAGTAACACAGGTACTTTAAATTAGAATAACAAAATCTCATGATACAGGAAAAAAGCTTATATGTGGAAATACTTTTTAACAGTGTTACGCCAGTGCCATTTTTTGGTCCCGATACCTGGCTGTGCAGTATCAGCCGATACTAAAACCATACCAATGCCAGCTGTTTGAAATTCATGTGTGTTTGTGTATATATATGTGAATAACTTCATACTACTTGGATGTAAAATAATTGCCATCATGGCTTTGTCAAGCTGCTTCATACCTTTGTGAAGCAGGAAAAAGACTAATACAAAGTGAATCCCGTAGAACGTTTTATTGCCTACCTGGAATGGGAGACAATAGTTCAATAAACTTTTGGCTCTCAAAATGGTATCAGTGCCCTATTTGTTGGTACTCGTCGATACCGATACCACCAATTTAGTGCAGTATTGGGGCCCTTCCCAATACTGGTATCGTATCTTATTACTGGTATCGTATATTATCGTATATTAATACTGGTATCTTATTTTCTTTTTAATGCAGGCTGAAACATGTTGGAATGTTTTTATCGCATTAGCCCTTTATAAATAACTGCTTTATAATAACTTTCCTCCTGAGTGCCTCTTTCTAAATTTTGTAGTGAAATGTTTAATACTCAGATTATTTACAGAAGAAAGGGTGGATGTACTAAATAAATCGAACATCTTTTGAGATTCTTTACTAAAATTACGAGCCAGGTAGTGTGGTGTATAGCTTACTTACCAACAAGAAGCTGAACAAGGTATTCTGTTTTATCCTTTAGATTGTAGCATCTGTATTTTCCATTGTCAGAGTGTGTCACATTAGAAAGTTTCAGTGAAACGTCTCCATCATTCAGTTTGTCATGGAACAACGATGCTCTTCCTATGTAGGCTGTGTTTTGGTCGGTTAGATATTCTTTCTGGTTATGCCAAACATACACAAATCTTGGTTTTAGGTCTGGTCTCCCCCACTCAATTGTAATCTGAGAAGGATCTTCAGAAGCTTTTATATGACAAGGTAAGACAACATCATCCCCAAGCATCGCTTTAATTATCTGAGGCAAATTTGACTCCTGTGATTGCCCTGAAAAAAAGAAATTTTTATTATTTCAGAATGATTTTAACTTCTTAAAGATTTACTTATTCTCATGCACAAAGCTAATTCTGGATATCGTATCTGATCATGCAAACTTTGTTTTGGTTGCACTCTGTCCACAACCTAAAGACTGAGGTTAAATAAAGATACCTCCATAGCAAAACCTGCAATGGCACAAGCTAAATATGAAAGATCTGTCACATATGACGCTTTATACTGAGTCATTTCTCATGCAGCCATTTTTACATGAAGTGTTTTGTCACAATCTTATTCTAAATATATTGTTATGTTTTTCAAAGATTTTTAAATTACCAGGATAGCAGCATAATGAGTGCTGTCTTTTAGGAAAAATAAATGTTTACCTGTCATTTTCTCAGTATGATTTGAATGTCATGTCTAACATGGGTGCTTTTAATCTAATCTCTTGATGTCAAAATAAATATTTTTTTATTAGATGCATGACTTTGAGTGTGCCTGTAGCATTAGCAATTGTTAATTATGTTTTCTAATATATTTCACTTAGCAAAAAATGTTGCTTTAAACTATTACGAAAATTAAAATAAGTGATATTTACGTACCACATTTAAAAGGAATATTAATTTATATTTAAAGCCCATTTAAAAATAATCTGCTTTCAATGCTTAATGTATTAATGAATATTTGAAACTGTCTTTTCATTTAAAACTGTAATAAAAAATCTTATGTTTTCAGTCTGATTGTCCTTTTTTATTAAGAAACTACTTTCTAATTTTATCTCATTATTTACTTTGTTCCATAGCTGGCAGATTCTAGCTGATATTTTCAGCTCCAAATATTTTCTTCTTCCTGATTGGAAAGATTGGATTAATATATGCAACTACCAATACTCTGGTCCTCAATCTTTGGGCTTACAAAAACGTCAATTCAGGGCCTTATATCTTCTTGGGTTACTCAATTTACTGGTATTTTTCAGTCTTTGTTCTATCATCTCATATTACATCTATACAAAGGAATCATCTAATGGGAGGGATATCTTAAACTATAAAACCTTGATAGGTTGTCTTTGCTCTTCTGTGTTCATATTGGATTAGCAAATGGCTTTCCATACATTCTCTGGTTTCAAACACAAATGGTAGAGCTAATTATTTACCTTAACAACTTCAATTGGCTTACTCTGTGGAGGTCTCAAAAAAAAAACAACTGTAACCTTTCTGTTGCACCAGAATTTCAGCTCATGATTTCATTAGGTATGCTTAGTTTGATAGTATGTAACACTAAATTAAGTATTTTTCAATGAAACAGCATGAAAAATGGGAAGAGCATAAAATTCTAAAAACAGCTTGAAGTCATTTAACATAATGTTTAATACATGAGCCACAAGTATGGTCACTATTCTGAATCTCTGAAACCATAGCTCATTTAAATTCATAAACCCTTAATGGTGCATACATTTTATTGGATAAAGCAATCAGAACAAATTTGAATACAAAAAATATGCATCAAGAACGTTCACCTGTAAAAGGGTTGGTCTGTACTTTGCATACCACATTACTTCTAGTCTTGATAACACAATATTATATTTTGTATTTGACTTGTGTGTCTGACCACAAAATTGAATGAAATCTGAAGTCTCTTTGATTTAAAGAAGTTACCTTCTCTTGTGTGTATCAAAAGAAGCACGCTGATAATGAGTCCAAAAACTAGTCCATCCAGCTTGTGATTCATCTTCAAGGGACAAAAACTGAAATACAAATATATAATATTGATGCTTAAGAAGATATTGACGAGAGAGAGAGGAGTAAAATTAAGCAGGGTTTGACGATTTAAACATCAATTCATCTAGAAATTTTAAAACTTTAGAAGGCTTGTTTTCTTTAGTTACAATGACGAAGTATAATCCCTAACTCTAAGAATTTAAATATAAGACTGTCCTTTTAGCTCATTTCTGCCATGAAACTTAAGTATGAACACAAAACAATGCTACAACAGGATATGGAATGACCATAAAGAATGATTTTCATACACATTACAGACATTAATCATCCATCAAGAAGCAAACATCCTGGTAAATTCACTACATTGGTTATTTACAGTTAAATTGCAAATATAATTGTTGGAGATTAGGCTACATAAAGAATGTGTAGAATAAAATTTACAAGGACGAGAGCTTTCATGACAAAGTCTTGCAGAAGCCCAACTTTGGTTGAAAAAATAATATAACAATAAAGCACAGGACATCTAAATCCCTTTTTGGGTAGATAATAAGAAAGTAGAGGTGTTTGACATTTAGACCTTTAGATCACCTAACTAGATTTTAGTATGTTGCAATGGTTTAAAGTCCAGAACTGATCCAGATATGAAATATGAATACTGTGCTTGGAACTCAAAGGAGCTACCAATAATATGTATTAGAATGACAAGAGAGAACATAAAGAAAAATTAACTAAACACATGATAGACAAGATAGACTGATGAAATTATACAGAGTATGACTACTCACACATGCTACATCAAAGGTCCTACAATTTATATGGATTTATGGCCAACTAAAGAAACCTTAGTTTCTCTAAGCTAATGTTTCTTTATACATAAAATTGTTACTATTATTTATAGAAGTTATGTATAAACTTAAAACTATGCAAAGCAACAAAATAGCAAATAATAAATATATACAGTTTAAAATGATTAGAAATACCTTTTTAGCTGCATTGTGGTTAAAGTCCTCAGGTCGGTGATTTTGTAATATAGATGCTCTTTCTTTCTTAACTTACAAGTTCAAAAAACTTTTTTATAGTTATCCATACGTGAAATAAAACAAATCTGAATGATAGTCATCCTAGCTCTAAAAACAGGGTTTGAATTCAAACATTGATTAACAGAGAGGTTAGTGTTTTATTATGGTGTAAAGAGCAAACTGTGGTTATTTGGTAATCATTAACCACAAACTGTCTGAAAGAAATAGAGTGAACTTTATTTTTTAGTTAAAGTGCACCTACAAACTTTTATTGTTACATGGGGATGCTGCTCTTAGAAGTCTATAGGCCTATTTTCATGTAGCATTTTAGAATTTTGTGTTATGAACAAAAAACAGAAAATGATTCTGAGCTTTCCTAGTTGCTTGTAGCTTAACAGGAAAGGTAGCCTGAGCCTTCTGTTGTTAATTTTGAAACCGATGCATGTTGGTTATCAAGAGCAAGGTGTAAAATATGTGTCCTTTGGACCTACCATGTTCCATACTCATCCAAATCACTGTAAAATGTGAACTACAGTACAACCTGTTGAACAAACAGAAACCAACAGTTTTATCTAGAAAATAATAGAAGGTAAAATGATTGCTATGTCGGAGTAATTTATCTCAGGCTGAATGCGTTTTGTGGGCAACCTTTCATACAAAGTCTATGGTGCTATCAAGCATGTCTTGAAGTGTCTTGAGCTTCAAGTGAGAAGCACTATAGGCTTTCAACTATTGACAAATTTAGGTTACTGACAAATGAACTTCCAGAACTGGATGCAGTACCTCAACCAATCAGAGAAGCTGACTACTCTCTGCAGAAAAACAGGAGAAAAACAATGAAAAATACTGTGGCAAAATATTTTATTATCATCACCTAAATTAATATAAAATTCAAAACTTGTTCAATGTAGTTTTTACCATAAAAAAAAATGCTGATACTTAATTCGAGCCGCTATGAACTATGGGACATTTTCAAAAGCCTGGCAATGAAGCTACCCCCGAGAATTTCGAGTGACAGTGACGCCACCGATATGACTGGGGATGCTCAGAACCACTGCATAGTATTTAAAACTTGTAGCTTAATACAGATGAACTGACTGCAAGTCTATCATTATTTTGATTACGTGGTCTGAATCCAAGAAGGAAAGTTTCTCAGATAGTGTACACACAGAAGGAATCGTATTTGTAAAAAAAAATCATTTATATAAGCTCCAAGTACATATGAAGTTTATTGCCTTCTTTCTTAGACCTGTTTTCTCCTTGATCAATAGCTATGGGACAGCAGAGTGGCGCAGAACTTCTAAATGTTTTCCAATTCTTCTATCATGCTACACCTAGCAAGGAGGTGCTTCTCAAGTTGCAGTATCCTGCCTTTTTTCCCCTGACTACAGCATTACCATACAAGGTGATTGTAGACTCTCTCTGGTCAGTATATGTCAACATAGGAATTTCCATATGGCTTATTTTCAATATAAGAAAGAAACTTCATAAGCAGTGGGTGTCCTTTAGGAGTCCATGTGTATTGATGGAAAAAATGCACCCCTGCCCCCACACCTCTCCACACAGATGCCAGAGCAGGTAGCCAACCCACTAAAGAGCCCACCCTGCCCCCAGCCAGTCACAGCCGTTCAAGGCCCCCATGTCCATATGGTCATCTCATACTCATAGCTGCCAGGTTATCAAAACCCAGGTACCGTAGTCCACCCTAGGCAAAGTACCGCAAGCCAGCCACCTGGGCCCAGGTGCCAGAATCCCCAACCCCCCCACTTCATCCTCCCCATCTAATGCAAGATAGTTTTGATTGGAAAGCTAGAAATAATATCTAAGCAGACCATTGAAAAACATGTGTTTAGGTGGTAATGTTATCCTGTTTTTTCAGGGATTCATCATGTTCCCATTGTGTCTTGACTTGTGTTCATTACCTATGATGCAGGTAAAGAAAGAGATAACCTGAACCCGGTATTCAAGGCGAGTCAGAAGATGACAAGTTTCAAAACGTTTAATGACAGAAATATTAATTAAACAGAACAGAACAGGACACGGGTTGCTGAGGAAAAAACGGACCGCAGCGTCTGCAAGAGGGGGGCGGGGCACTGCCCAATCACTGACAGTCTGGAGTTAGAAACACAGGTAAGTGAGTCCAGAAGCTTGCTCAGACAGACACGCTCAGATGAAGACAGGCAGGCAGAGTGGTAGAGAGAAACATAGACAGCACTTGGTACCAGGATAAATCCTGAACTTTAAACCGGTCTCCTCCTAGGAGCCAGGCTTACAGGACTAAGACTGACCTCTGCCACATTCCGAGCCAAAACCCTGAGGGCTCCATGGAGAAGGACCAGAACCCGCGCTCCCCCTCCACACGCAGAACCAACATCTTGAGGGCTCAGCGGAGAAGACCTGGGACATGATCAGGAGACAAACTATAAACCCTCTAAAAATCCAATGGTACATGAATAACTAAAAAATATAATTACATAATTAGATAGTAGGGAGGGTTCAGCAGGTGAATGAAGTAAGTAATCAGATAGGCTATCGGGGCTGCGATAATGACAGTATAAAAACAAGTAGAACTTCAAGAAAAGTAGACTGCCATTACTTGATGAGTTTACTCAGTTTTTAAGCAAAACTGGTCAGCTGGCAAGAAACCCTTTTTGGAGCAATCTGTAGCCTTTTCTTGTTAGTTCCAAGACTTTCTTGAAGCTTGTCTCTTGAAAATGTCTGTTGGTATTGCATTTGGGAATTAGGTCTGTTAAATTTCATTTTGGGTTGTGCTTTCATAATCCATCCATCTTTCCATCTTCTCCTGCTTAATCCATCACGATCACAGTGGGGCTGGTTCCTATCTCAAGTAGTCTATGTGAGAAAGGCGGGGTGCAGCCTGGACAGATCCCCAGGCCATCACAGTGCAATAAAGAGGCATACAACCATGCACACACACTCATGCCTAACGAGAATTTAGAGATGCCAATTTATATCATTGTAATCTACTCGGAAAGAGCCCATGCATAAACAGAGAGGATATACAAACCATGCAGAATGACGCTGGATGGGAAATAGTACTCAGGGCCTTCTTGCTGCAATTCAACGGTGCCATAAACTGCACCACAGACCAGCTGACTTTTATACTTCTATTCTGCTAATTAGTTTTGCCCAAGTTGTCAGGCTCAGAGAACTGTGATCAAGTATTCAAGGTGGACAAATGGTTAGGTTTCTCAAAATGTGAGGTTGGTTCCAGCAGGTCGGAGGACAGGCGGGAGATCAAAACAGAGCAGCCAAATGTAGGCAGGATAATACAGAGGGCAGACCAAAGCCGATATCGGTGATGTGCTCAGTTGTCAGAGCCAGGAGTTTAGAGATCCACTGAGGCGCTGAAGTAGAGTCCAAGACGGAGTCGGCTCACAGTTCCAGGTACAGTCACAAACAGGCAGAGAATTTCTCAGAAGTCGAGAGGCAGAACAGGTCATGATCAGGTAAACAGGAATGCTAGAATAAATCTCACCAACGGCTTAAAAATAACATGCCGCTGATGACTGGTCTGAAGCCAGGTTAAATAGAGACTAGGGCAAGTGGATAAGCAGGTAATGAGAGCTAAGCAGGTTTGTGAAATGGGTAATCAGACCAGACATCAGTGCCAAGATCATGACATGAGTGGTTTCTCATCATTGGACATCTGTGGAAGTCATTGCTTGTTCAAAATATTTTTTTTCAGGTATAAGGATGTGATTGGTGCTCTTGGCACCAGTACAATCCGGGCTGGAGGTCAAAGATTGACTTTGTAGTTGTATCTTCCAGATTTTGGCTTTATGTTTTCGACACCTGGGTGAAGAGTTGGGCAGGACTATCCACCAATCACTTCCTTGTGGAAAAGGAGGAAGACTGGCCCAAGCAAGCAGGTTAGTGTGGTGTAGTGGTTAGGGCACTTGGAATCCAGAGGTCAAGTCCCACTCCCATAGACTGACACTCTGGGTCCCTGAGCAAGACCCTTAACCCCAGACTGCTCACTAGGAACTCCACAATGGCAGCCCACTGCTCTTCAAGGGGATGGTTTAAATGCAGTGTTAATTTTGTTGCTCTGACAGTGTAATGACAATAGAAAAAAGCTGGAAAAGGGTCTGCTGGAAGATTTTTGTGGAATCCTCACTCAAAAATATGTTTAACTCTCACGTTTGTGATAGCTTCTACTAGATTCCAGGGGAAGACATGGAGTCTGACTGAGTCATGTTCTATGTCTCTTTGGTCCATGCAGTTCCCTGTAGCTGTAGCTATGAGGTTTGTGGTGCTTGTTGCTGCAGCAATCCCCCAACTTTGTGATGGACATCATCATTAAGGAAAGTTTTCAAGTTCAAGGTGGAGTGCTATCGAGCTAGGTTGGCTTGTGGTACTTTTGAGGCAGTAAGCAGGTGTTGTGAGGCCAAGCGTGCCACTGCCCAGAATGTTGCAGAGTGAACAACACTGGGAGGAGTTTTAAGAGCTAGCCAGTCAGAAAGAATCTTAGTCAGCCTCAGGGTGATTCTGACAAGCCATAAAGGGACCTCTGATATGCATTCTGTGGTGGAACAAGAGCAAGGTGCTTGGGGCTGGATTCCTTCATTACCCAGGGGTAAGTCACAGAGGTGGTCAAAAGATCTCTTTGGTGGCAAGAATTCGGGGTGGATGACATAAACCCTGAGTATGTTAGGAGTGTGGATGTTGGACTGTCATGGCTAACACACCTATTCAACATCAGAAGTCAAGTACACAGTTGGTTGGTGGTTCCCCTGCGTAAGAAGGAGGTTTGACTGCACTGGTCTGTTGTTGTAACGAAAGAACTGAGCAAAAAGGCAAAGCTCTCAATTTACTGGTTGATCAATATTCATACCCTCACCTATGGCCTGGAAATCTGTATTATGACCAAAAGCACAATAACCCGGATACAAGTGTCTATACAAATGGACAAAATTATCTTTCTGGCTATTTTTGGGCTGGGCACTCTCTTAGAGATAGGGTAAGGAGCATGGTCATCCTGTAGAGTTCCTTCTCCTCCATATTGTGAGGAGTAAGCTGTGGTGGCTCAACCAACTTTTTTGGATGCTCCTTGGAAGTCTTTAATGGGTAGTGTTGCAGGCATGTCCAGCGTGGGAT